TTAATTAATTAATTAATTAATTAATTAACATACAAAACCTTTTAAATTAAAAAAGTATCTAAGCTTACGTCATTAAAGAATACAAACCGCAGGAATCTTATCCAGCTTTTTCTGAACTATCTAGTTAGATAGCTTATGTTTAAATAATAGTTTAGAAGGATTTACACACATACCCCTTAATTCTTATTTATTTGCATATATAACCACCATGCTTTACTTTTTAAATATATGTCAATTGTATTTGTCCATGGAAAGATATATTTCTCCTTTCAAAAGTTATAAGTGGGGGTGTAAACAAGCCGAACACGAACGAACAGAGTTTGTGTTCGTGTTCGGTTCGTTTGAAATTTAGTTTGTTTTAACATAAGCTCATATTCGAAATTGTTCGTGAAGTTACTGTTCGTGTTTGTTTCTTAACGAACAAGCCGAACACGAGCTGTTCTCGAATGATGAGCCAGTTTGACATCCCTAATATTAATACATAGAAATAATATATTATATTAATTATATAACTTATATTATATAAATATATAATATCTATATTAGTATATTACTTATAAAATTTAATTTTTTAAAATATCATAAATTTTTTATATATAATTATTTTAAATTATTTTATATTTCGAACAATAACGATTCAAACACGAACGAACGCATCACTGTTCGTGTTTGATTCGTTTCACTAATCAAACGAAAAAAAATTGTTCGCGGTCGTCTAGTTTACTTATCGAACGAATTGAACACGAACTCATTGACGAACCGAACACGAACTGTTCGCGAACAAAGAGCTTTTTTGACTGCTTTAGCTATAACAATATTTTTTTATGTGATATGATAGAATTGGGCGTGACATATAAATATATAAAAATCGGGTGGTATATTTGTAAATGTCCCTTTTTTTTTTAGCCTTAATCCCAAGTGGGGTAGGCTAAATGCCCCTAATTTTTACGTTAAATATCAATCAAACAAATTAGAAGGCATCAGGACACGCAACGTGGCCGCTTGTGCAGCCAATGCTAACGTAAACATGCTTTTCCTCATCATTTTTATAATCCAAATCATACAGTTTCAGCTTTATATAAATCATTGGAGAGCATAGAAATGAACAAGTGGCATATAAAATATTTAAAATATTTGTTCTCTCTTCCTTCCTAACTTAGCCTTGGTCTCACCATTCTTCTCTCTCTATGCCCCCCCTCTCTCTCTCTCTCTCTCTCTCTCTCTCTCTCTCTCTCTCTCTCTCTATTTATCTACCCTACCAAACCTATCTTCAACAATAATAATAATAATAATAATAATAATAATAATAATAATAATAATAATAATAATAATAATAATAATAATAATAATAATAATAATAATAATAATAATAATAATAATAATAATAAAAGAGATGAATGATGAGTGCTCTGATGAACTCTTACGAGCAGTGAATGGTGAAATAGATCGAGTTTTGGAGAGGTGATTCGAGTTGACGTTATCTTTCGTGTGATGTCTGTATGTGATTTTTCGTTCATGTGCCTTATCATTGATCATTATTTATTAAGAAGAAAAAGATTGATTATAAAGCATTTAGAATATGATGCAATTATATAGAAAATAAATTAGTTGAATATGTTGTTGTTGATTTGGTTGCATGTTAGTAGGAATTGAAGTGAGCTTTTAGCAAGGGGAAGTATGAGAGGGTTCCCCAGATGAGTTCTTCAGATTAGAGCCTCTGGTTTGTGGGAAATAGTCTAGAGCGAGCAAATGAATTTTGTCATAAAGTCACACTTACCTCATAATTCGAATATGTTGAACCTTATTGTAGTGAGTCATTCATATAAAGAGAAAACTCTGAAGTAGCTCCTAGTTGGAGAATTACAAATGAGTTCCCTCAATGATGTTTTCCAACAAGTACCATTAGTTTGTCGATAATACAATGACAAGCTAACAAGTTCTTTAGGCAAATAGCCGTGAATAATGGACAACTTCATGACTTTCTTGGGAATATTTAATCTTTCGGTGATAGGAGCTAAAATACAATGAACTCTCAGAATGTCTTTTGAGATACAATTTTAAGGAGCTCAAGGTTTTACAATAATTTACACTTGTTGAGCTTGAATTTAAAAAGAAATTCAAATATATTCGCAATCTAGAGAGTGCTGAAAAAAGAGATGGTGGGGGCATCACTATTAATCAAATATTCGTGTTCCATTTTACGTAAGTTTTGATTTACACTTTTGGGGCATTTTCATATTAAAGTAACTTCTAAGTTTTTATTTTTATTTTTTTTGGGAAAACAATAATTATAAGTAACTAATCATATGCATTATCTATATATATATATGGGTATTTACATGCATAGCTCTCAATTCTTATGAATTTAAGTATGTCACATCAAAACTTTCATTTTTATAAAAATAGCACTAATTATATTTTTTAACCTTCAAATTCATCTTTTGATGCATAGGTAAAGTGTTATATCTCTAAATATTAAAGTTTAGGCGTGAGATATATAAATTCATAAAAATTTAGTCTTATCATATATAAATTTTCCCATATATATACTTTTGAAAATATTATAAATTTAATGACTTCTAATATGGGAGTCTTGGAGCAACGTTTGGTAATAGCCAACTTGAATTAAATGCTCCTTCCCCTTCCTCCAACCCCATATAAGAAACACCCCTTCACCTCATCCCTCTCTCCCGAACCCGCCGGAGAAATTATGGAAGTCCTTCCACCCATCCCAAGTTCGCCGGAGTTTCACTTCACCACCACCACCTCAACCTCGCCGACCTTCAGCGAACCCTTCAACTACCACCAACACTACACCAGCACCCCCAGCAGCCCCACCCATGCCGCCGCCACCATCTATTCTCACTTCTCCTTCCACCGCTCCTTCAACCCGCCGGAAATCTCCACCGCCGACAAGCTCTTCGAAAAGGGAAAAATCCGACCTTTGCTCCATTCTCAACCCGTCGCCGCCGCACAGTCCGGCGAAAGAGGCAGGCAAACTAACTCCTCTGTTTTTCACTCCGGAAACAGAGCAAGAGAATCCAGATCTCTATCTCCCTTCAGAAATCACTCCTTCTTCATAAAAAACTCAACTTTATCCCCCTCATCCTCCGCCG